GCACCTCAGTTTTGCCGCTTGAAATTCTCCTCTGGAAACAAAGTATCATTCAAGAAGTCATAGTTTTCAGGATTAGGCGTCTCTTAAAGTCCTGGGTCAGCCAAAAAACTTTCTCTTAGAATCTTTCTCCCCTCTTCCTCCTGCTCAGTCTTACCCAGCTGCCAGCTTCTTTGTGGCGGCCATTACAGACCGCCGCTCGACCGCCTTGAGAAAAGGGGGTTTAGCCAGCTGGGGAGGGGGTCTGCAACACCCCCAAACCCCTCTCCGGATCCCCTCTATCTTCGGCTGCCTCTATGGGGCAGCCTTAGCCTCCAGGTCCATCAGGATCGGAGGCACCAAGATGGCTAGCGCCACAGGGATCGCGCAGGATCGCGAATCCCTGCTGCTGGCGAAGCTGACAAACCAGAAGTCCGGGATGGCATGCATTTTTATGGGACATTGGGAAAATTAAGCAGAAGTATTTCCACAGACATATAATTAGAGATTCCTTATTGGCTAATTGGAACAACAACAAAAAAACATTATTTAAAAATCCCAATTTGGATCTCAACGATGGAGGCAATGATACATCCAAATAATCTAGATCTTAATAAAATGATAAAATACAAAGACCTTCTTGATGTGCAAGGAACTTTAAAATCATGGCAAGATCTCCAAGAACAGGGGGGCTACAAGTAGACCGGTGGGCTTACTTGCAAATTCAAAATAGATATAGCCAGGACAAGAAAAAATTTGGAATTTATACTAAGGCACAACAAATAGATAAAATTGTATTAAGTCCAGATAAACAAAATATAACTAAATTTTATAATTATTTCCTAAAGACGGAATTAGAAGAGGAAGTAGTCAAAGGCAATATGATAGCTTGGAGCAGAAACATAGGACATAGCATTACATTATTAGAATGGGAAAAGGTTTGGACAAGGAATAATAAAATTACAAGATCAGCAGCATATAAAGAAAATGCCTATAAAATGTTTTATAGATGGCATCTCTCACCCTTGAGAATAGCAAAAATGTCTCCTAACATGAATCCGAATTGCTGGAAATGTAAAAAGAAACAGGGAACATTTTTTCATATGTGGTGGTCCTGCACTGAAGCCCAGAGATACTGGCATAGGATAAAAAAGTGGTTAGAGGAAATAACAGCGGAGCAAATTGAATTAAAACCAGAATTCTTCCTATTGGGGATATTTAATCGACAAATTCCTAAAAATGACAAATATATAATACTGCATATTCTTACTGCAGCCAGAATAACCTTTGCACAGTGTTGGAAACAAGCAGATATTCCAACAGAGGAGATGGTTATACAGAAGATAACAGCCTGTGCAGAGATGGACAAGTTAATCTTAGCACTTAAGGAAAAAGAAACATCAGAATATTATAGAAGCTAGGAATGCTGGTATGACTGGATAGAGCAAAAGTAGAAAATATATTAGTAAATAATGTAAAATGTAAATCATAATTATATATTTGCAATAAGATGTATTTGTAAATGTATCACCAATATTGATAACAAACAAGGAACCATAGACTGTCGATAGTAGAATTGTTATTTTTTTAATCATTTTCCTTTTTTTATTTCTTTTCTTTCTTCTTCTGTGTGTTGTGTTTGTTTGATATTTTGGTTTTGTAATCAATAAAGTTTGTTTTAAAAAAATAAAGAAATAAAATCAAGATATACTTATCCAAGCAGATTAGATGATTCCTTCTCCAGCTTCTACCTCTCTTGGTTCAGAGGTCCGACGCTGCCAAAGGCAATTCACACCTTTTTTCCCCCTTTCTATTAGCTGTTTTAAATCTTTTCTTAAAAATTCTTTAAAATATTAATCCTGGGGGTACTTTCCATTTAAATATATCATCCCATTCCTCCTACTGTTTGCTTCTTTCTCTCCTGCACAAGCTTATTCCAGTCTCATCTTCCCCTTCAGGGTGGCCATTTTAGGCCACCGCTTCAGACGTCTTCAGTAGGGAGCAATTGCCAAGCTGGGGAGGGGATTTGTGACTCCCCTCTACCCGGATGATGGTCTCCCCTTCCACCGCTGCCCCTACAAGGCGGCTTTTGCCCCAAATCTGGTCGACCGGGGCTCTCCGATGCTGAAGCACGGACCAAAGCCACACACAATCGCGGTCAGCAGTCCATCTTCGGAGAAGCTCAAAACCGGAAGAACAGTCCTCCAATATTTGAGGGGCTGCCACAGGGAGGAAGGGGTCAAGCTATTTTCTAAAGCACCTGTAGGCCAGACAAGGAATAATGGATGGAAACTGAACAAGGAGAGATTTAACCTGGAAATAAGGAGAAACTTTCTGACAGTGAGAACAATCAACCAATGGAATAACTTGCCCTCGGAAGTTGTGGAAGCTTCATCACTTGAGACTTTCAAGAAGAGTTTGGACTGCCATCTGTCAGAAATGGTACAGGGTCTCCCGTTTGGGCGGGAGGGTTGGACTAGATGACTTATAAGGTCCCTTCCAACTCTGATTATCTGTTATCTGATCACCATTTCTAACCTTCCCTGCTAGCTTCCGACAAGCAAAATTACTCTGGGAAACCAGATTCACTTAATAAGCACACGATTTGTATAATACTTCAGTAAGACTCCAGCTTAACAATTGTGGCCAAAAAAAGGTCATAAAATGGGGTGCAACTCACTTAACAACTGTCTCGCTAATCCACAGAAATTTTGGGCTCCATTATGGTCGTAAGGTGAGGACTATTTCTAAATAAGTCAAATATGCTCACTTATTTGAGTTCTTTGCATCTAATTCCACATTTCTGTAATACAATTTAACTAAAATATCATCTGCCCAGTCTTGTTATTATTGTTAAATTTCAATGTCTCCTGGGAAATTTAGAAAAAAGAAATTTGATTTGCAAATGCATAGATCATGCAGGAAGGATGTTCTGACAGGCATTAATCAATATGCCCAAGATCATGTCTTGACGCTGAAGTTGTATTAAAGTTGTCACTTTTAATTCAAACAATGTTGTGTCCATGGAAAGTGAGAATTAAGAGGCCATTTAAACATAATTAAATGAAAAGCCATGTCCAGCATTACCCTGAGAAACTCCTCTGCAATGTAAGCTATCGTATTAAAATTGTCCATGGAATGTGACTGTTTTGTCAGAATGAGTGATAACAGGCACTGTGATATCACAATGCAAGCGCAGCTCCTTACATGTATGCAGTACACAAAAGGGGTGGAGTTTATATTGGTTGTGATCAGGGGTGGGATTCAGCCGGTGTTACAACCGGTTTGGTGACTGTTTTGCACGTGCACATGTAAAAAAACCTTAAGCTGTGCCACCTGAACAGCTAAAAAGCAGTGCACGGAGGTGTACAGCATTTAAAAAGCCTCTTTTTTCCTGCTTTTTCAACCTCAGCTGTGCCGTGCAAAGCAGCTGAGGTTGAAAAAGCAGGAAATAAAGGACAGGTAAGAGCCCGGGCAGGCGGGTGGGCCAAACAGTAGCAAACACCGAACCGGTTCGGTGTCTGCTGCTCTTCAGAGCTACCGGTTCTTTAGAACCAGGCAGAACCGGTAGCATCCCACCCCTGGTTGTGATGCTGTGGGACTAGGCTGAAGCCACCATACCTAAAAGTGGTGAAGGCATGTTAACAGAGTGGGCAAAAGCCAGGAAAAGTTCCTGGGGTGGGGGGGGGAGGAAACAGGTCATTAAAGGATAAAGGAGTTGGGCCTGCATGGGAAGCCCTTCCCCACCACCTCTGGGGGATAAAAAGAGGTCCTGAAGCTTGCCCAGACTTTTGAGACATTTTTGGATTCCAGACTTAGCAGCTTCCTTCCTTCTGGCTAGGGCCTGGCAGCCTGGGAGTGGACCAGTGATGGGATTCAAAAATTTTTACTGCTGGTTCTGTGGGTGTGGCTTGGTGGGTGTGGCTTGGTGGGTGTGGCAGGGGAAGGATACTGCAAAGTCTCCATTCACCCCACCCCACCCCACTAACCTGCTTTCCAGCTCCATTCAGCTGGGACTCAGGAGGCAGAGAATAGATGGGGGTGGGGCCAGTCAGAGGTGGTATTTGCCAGTTCTCCGAACTACTCAAAATTTCCACTACTGATTCTCCAGAACTGGTCAGAACCTGCTGAACACCACCTCTGGAGTGGACACTGGGAAAGTGTGGATGAGAGAGAGAGTGTGTGTATGTAAGAGCAAAAATATATCAGTAAAAGTTTGCTGCATTTTTAAATTCACTGGGTCTCTGTGTATTTTAAAGAATCGTTTGTGCCTCAGTGCTCAGTTGATTTGGGATCGATGTGGCAGTTTTCCAAGGCCTGGGAATGTGTGAATGAGGTACCATAAACTTAACCAGAGAACACAGTTGTGTAACAATGCTTGCTTTGTCTTTACTTTATCTTCCCCTCAGTGGATGCCTATGTATTGTATACTATCACAAGTATCTTAGAAGTGAAGCTTCTTCATGCAAAATCTGGATATTAGAATAGAAAGGGCTAAACAGTGATCTATTAGAAAGGAGTTCTAAAAAGCTGGGCCCAATGCTGAAAAGGCTGTTTCCATAATCATAATAATGCATTTCATTAGTGTAAAAGAGGACTCAAGAAAAGCATTGTTTCAATTTCTTTCATTAGCTTTATTTAGCTGAACTTATGGTACAGGTAGTCCTTGACTTATGACGATTCATTTACCCCGACAGTTCAAAGTTATGATGCTGCTGAAAAAAGTTCAAAAGCACTTATGACCAATTCTGCACTTATAATATCATAGCACCCAATGGCCCTGTGATCACCGTTTGGGCCATTCACTTAATGCCCACAGCAATTCAATTAATGATCATTGTAAAAAATGGTCATCAATTTGGGCACAACTCAACTTACAATCATATCACCACACCATAGAAATTCTGGCCCTAATTTCGGTCATAAGTCAAAGGCTACCTGAAGTGATGTTCTACTTGACCTCACTTTGGAACCTGCATCTTCCAATCCGTTGATTTTGAACAGTTGTATCTCTTTTCTTGCAGATCACATGAATGCAAAATCACACTGGATGTTATCAGCACTTTCAAACTATGGTAAAAATCAATGCCGATATTTCTTCTGGGACCCACATAGGTTGAACTGGCCTAAATCAATGTAGTTTTTGCACGTCACAGTCCTAGGAAAATACACAGACTGTCTTAAAAAAAGCATTAGTCCTCATTCTTATTCAGACGTTTAATATTTTTGCATGGTAATGTAGCCAGAGGCTAAACACATCACACAAAGCTTTCTCCCATAGGTCTCTTCTTTGGCATTGATAAGTCCTCTTTACATTGTCTCACCAGATGAGAAACAGAGAACTGGGATTTCTCAGTTGTAATATCCTACTTTAATCTCCAGAAAGACTAACTTACTGTATTATGTCATTGACCATGATAACTCTGATGTCTAACAATAGACATCTGTAAGAAGAAGCTGTGCTGAATCAAAAGCCTCTCTGCTTTGGTATTCTGCTTTTAACCTTTGCAAACTGAATGCCTGTGTAAAGATTTCAAGCAGTTGTACAGATGCAATATCCATATATCACGTTGCCCCTAGCGCTAATAGAACCAGGGCTCTCCAAACTTGGCAACTTTAAGACTTGTGGAGTTTAACCTCCCAGAATTCTCCAGCCAGCATTGAGTTGAAGTCCACAAGTCTTAAAGTTGCCAAATTTGGAGACCGTGACTTAGGGCATTATTGGTCAGAATGGTTTGGGGAGATGGGAAAAAAAGAATCCTGAGAGAGCCTTAAGTTGCCTATCACTGATATGAGCACTTCAAAAAACGGTTAAGAATCAAATCCAAGGGTTTGCTAGATCATTCTTTACTCTCAGATCTTTTAATTGTATTTTGCTTTGTTCTTTCCTTAAGAGTACAAGCAGCCGCCATCCTGCTTCCAAGCAAACATGGAATGTGTGAATGATGAAGTCTGCAACAAGCAGTTGTCTTTATATCTCCAAGTGTGCCAAATAAACGGAAGCTCCTGTGATATAAACCGATGCCGGGCAGCCTTACATGCTTTCTATACCAATATGCCTTTTCAAGTGGCTCAGATGCTGACCTTTTGCGACTGTATGCAGTCAGATGACAACTGCCATCAATCCAGACAATTCCTCCATGGCCATCCATGTGCCATCCAAATGGTCCCAACACCTAGCTGTGTTCATGTGATGCAATTGTGTCGGGAAAACAAGCTTTGCTGGTATGCATTTTTGCTTGCATGCTGAAGTGGGCTTAAGATGAAAATACACAAATGGTCTATTAGTCTATTTTGATGACAGTGCCTAATGTTTCCTAAATTTTCAAGATTAAAAGTATTGCATGGTATAGACAGGGGTTTCCAACCTTGGCAACTTTAAGACTTGTGGACTTCAACTCCCAGAATTCCTCAGCCAGTAAAGCTGGCTGAGGAATTCTGGGAGTTGAAGTCCACAAATCTTAAAGTTGCCAAGGTTGAAGACCCCTGGCTATAGAATTAGTTGAGGTTAACATTATTATTTCTCTGTGATTTAAGTCTTCCTTTTAATCTTCTCTAATTTATGAGCTTCAGCAGGACATTTTATATAAATAAGCACATTTTATATAAATAAGCACATATATTAAACAAGCACATTTTAATTGTTCATCAATGTGAATCACATACATTTAATCTTAAGCGGCTACCCTTTCTCCATCCCATGCATTCTTTTGATAAGAGAAGTTGCTTCCCCACCCCACCCCCCAAATATTCTTTCAGGCCATTTACAACTGGTAGTCCTCCACTTACAACCATTTGTTTCGTGGCTGTTCAAAGTTACAATGGCAAGAAAAATAATAATTTACAACTGGCCCTCCCCCAACTGTTGCAGCATCCCAACAGTTACATGATCAAACTTTGAGGGGCTTGGCAATTGGAAGGTACTTATGATAGTTGTAGCATCTTACGATGCCATTTCCAGTCTACCTCTAATGAGCCAAAGCAGTCAGGGAAGCCAGATTTGCTTAAGGGCCACATGATCCATGTCACATTTGCAGTGATTGGTTTAAAAATCATGGCAAAAAGATCATAAAATCAGGTGCAACTCACTTAACAGCCATCTTGCTTAGCAACATAAATTCTGGACCCATTTGTGGTGGTAAGTGGGGGACAACTGTAATCCTTTCCAGCCCAAATACAGTACAACTGATAACCCATTGCTTGAAATAATTGTGAAATTATAAGTAAAATGCAGTATGTTGAATAGGGATATTCCTCATTTTAGTTCTTGTAAGAGATTCCTGCTCTGCTTTCCTTCCATCCACTCTCATGTGTCCCATGCTTGATTATTGCACATCACAATCAAAATGAACCTCTAATATCTCTATATTTATGCTCCCCTTGCTCTGTCTTGTGTTTCCAAAGGAGCAAATATGAGGCGTTTACATCAAAGTGTTTAAAACATGTCAGCCAAGACTGCCTTGAAGAAAACTCCTGCCTCAAGACTTGGAACGCCATTGACCCAATTTGTTCAGAGAGCGTCGACTGCAGAGCTGCTTATGTGGACCTGTGGGGATCCGTCCTTCGAGTCAAGTGTACCTGTGAGGCCGCATCACAAGCTGAGAAGTCTGTGTGCCAGTGGTTCCATCGTATACTCCATGGCAAGGTTTGCTTACGTAAGTCGATCTGGTCAAGCCTTGACATGGTTTACTTTTAACTCAGAAGGTAGCATCATCTGCTTCAGATCTAAGCTTGGAGACCAAGTAGGGCCAGGCCAGGTTAGTCCATGGATGGGAGACTCCTAAGAAATAGCAAGCTCTTTGTTACACCAGGAAGTGGAAAGCATTTCCCAAAGAAAGCAACAGAAAATTGCTTCTCTACTATTGCTCTGTATATTGTATGTAGCTGCTCGTGAAGTCACCAGAGCTAAAGCTGGAAAGGATTCTTTTAACTTGGTACAATCATTCTGTGTCTTCCTGGGAGGCCCTTCCTTGTAGGGGATGATAGATGGAGAAATAGAATGAATGGGCACCAAAGTGAAAGTTAGCGATCACCTCCATTTTTTACTCTAGTTCAGGGTGTCAAACTCACAGCGTCATGGCGGTGTCACGTGATGTATCGGGACTTTTCCCCCTTTCGCTAAACCAGGTGTAGGTGTGGCCAGCATGTGATGCATCTGGTCCACCGGCTGGGAGTTTGACAGCCCTACTCTAGATCTACTCCACAGTTGTTTCAGCTCTGTGGCCTAAAGCCATATCACCCCTCAAAAATGACATTTGGGGGAATATCCCTCAGGATAAACAAAAATGTCCCTCCCCCGGCCATGTTTGAAGCACACAGGCACTTGTTCCACACAAAATCGGGGTTCCAGCTAACAGATTTCAATTTCAGCATTTTCAGCATTTAAGATCAGTGCTGGAGAACCCTACAGATGTGGTCTATTTTTAAAATCAAACAGCCTTAAAGCCATGGGTCTTGGTTCCTAATTGACTGCTTGCAATGCTTGTACTCACAAACATTTCGAATACTACATATATGTGGAATAGAATCACACTTTACTATGAGGGCACCTTTGTGAAGAGAAGCAATGCACATGTGAAGGGTCCCATTTGATTTCGGAGTGGCTACCCTTCAAAAGGTAAAAACAAAATGTGATCCAATTTATTTTAAAAACAAATTTTATTGAAATTACATGATGCTCGTTAAACAGATTTAACTGCTTCTCATGCATAAAAACATTAGAAGTTACCATTTGGAGGGATGCTGGGAATTGCACTCAAAAATTTGAGAGGGCCATAAAATGTGTGGTCTCAAGTTGTGCAAAGAAACCATCTGAATAAGCACTTAAAAGTGGGGATTTGGAGATCTGGAGGATTTGAATTGGGGTTTATACAACTCCATAGGATGAGAACCAGAATTCAAATATGACAAAATCAGAATCTTAATCAAGTGGATAAGGTTCAAGAAGGAAGGATTTAGCAGGAGTGCTATTGACACAAGTAAATGTACCACTAAATGATATCAGATAACATGTCATTAACAACTTTTATCTCCTTTAGCACAGCATAAGACCTGCACAAATCATTTCTTGCTTGGAAATGTAAATAACCAGTTGATAGGGAGAGACAACTAGAGCTCTCTCTACAGTGTGTGTGTGTGTGTATGTATGTGTGTGTGTTACTTTGATGTATTATGTAATGTCATCTCTATTATTTTTAACAGTTTATTAAAAATATTACATACTTAATATTGTAATAAACCCTAGTAACTTCCAAGGAAGTTTAGACATGTTTTAGAAGTTACAGCTGAGAAGCTCATTTAAATCCACTCTAATGGAATTGTACAGTAAATAATCCTTCTCCCATCTGATAAAGTAGGAGTATGATTGTATTACTAATACAAACTAAATATTCTTATTTTATTTGTGTACTGTAACTAGATTACAGCTAGATAATTACAGCTAGAATCTCTTTCTACTTCTAGAAAGTAGAATTATTATGTCTACTTCTGAGACATAATATGTAACAAACTGTGCCTGAGGCTTTTTTTTTTGCCAAAGCATCTATATAATCAAAGGAAGCAACATCATATTTGGGGAGATAGAAGTAAACACGAGGTTTGCAAAAATAAAAAAATAAAAAATTCCTTCATATTTTTTTATTTTTATTTTGAAGAAAGAAGTTTCCTAAAACAACTCCAGGAGATTTTGGGATGCGGGGCAGAGAGAACGGGGAACAGTGAAAGGAGAGAGAATGGAAAGGAGTGATCAGGCTGGCTGGCAAGCATCCAATGGAAAAGCACGCCATGAGGCCATACCAGGATGTCCTTTCTACTCACTTTCACACCGTCTCGTTTTTATATTCTCTCCTGTTTAAAGGCCAAATATCAGGTGGAGGCGCTGACCTTTACACATCACAGATAGAACTCCCTGGAAAAATACTTCCTGTAACTGGCGAACAGTCTTTGTTTTACGGTAAGCTGGACTTTCAAAAAGAAAGGAAACCTCCATTTCTGCCACGGACCCTGGAGGTTTACAAAGGATGAAGTCTGCAGAGGGGAGAGCACAGGTGATGCTGGAGGTATAAGGGGGGAGGGGGCAAGAGGCTGCTGAAACCAGCCCTGTTCTGGTCCTTGTTCCTATCTGGAAGGAGAGAAGGGTTAGACCACTTTACATTCAAGAGAATGTAAATGTCTTCAGTTTAAATGGAGAGTGGGATCATTTGCCTGATCTTTCCCTACGGATACCCTTCACCAAATGCTGGTGTTTGGTCTGGGACTCTTAATCTGGCATGTGCTGATATAGTATTACTGTTCTTGGGATGTTGTTGGTTATATGCTGCCCGGTTCCCAGCAATTCAGGGAGGATGGCAGACAGCCATGGTACTTTATAGCCTCATCCCTATGTGTGTGTGAGAAAGAGAGAGAAAGAGAGAAAGGGAGACACAGAGACAGAGGCATAGGGAGAGACATTTAGCTGAAGCACCTGCTCATCTGTTTCTGAAATTTGCAAGGAAATAGTATATACTCCTGGCTGATTCATGCAATGAAATTTGCAATTTAAATATTGCTATTACATTGGATGCACTTTAACTTTTGTTTTCCCACTTTAATTCTAGATGACACAATCATTACTATTCTATTCGTCTCCTGCATCATTCTTATCCTGGGAATAATCCTTCTGGCTTTGTTAAAGACCAGGTAATTTCTGCAAAAGGCAGTCTCCGATGTATTGCATTTTCCAGGTTAGGGAAAAGACTCAACCTCTTGTTTCTCTCACCATACACCCCTTCCCCGATATCTAGCCATTTTTATCTATGGTTTCCAAGAAAATGGTGACATCTTGATGGGGGCCAGTGAAAGAAACAAAGAACTACTTAGAACAAGTATGTGTAAAGTTGAATAATCAACATTTAAAAACTGGTATTCCATACCTGGCACTCACAGGTCTATTTCTAGCCTACCTAACTTTGTTATTTTAAATTTAATTTTAAGTTTTAAATGAATTGTAAAGCCTCTATTACCTCTTTTGATCAAATATGGGCTGAATACAAATTAGTGGGTAGCTGCGATGTACTGCATTGTTAGGAACTATCACTGCCTGCCCCCCTTCAAAAGGCAAAGCTGGGGTAGTAGAGAACTTCCTAGGATACTACTACTGGTGGGGCTCTCCTTTTCAAATGCAAGCAGCCATTTATTGAAAGGAGTCATAACATGGTCTCCAAAATGCTTCCACCCAGCCTGGCTTACCATAGGGGGAAGGCAATCTGTTGCCTCCTAAATAATTTGGACTACAGATCCCATCAGTTCAAGCTAGCATTGGCGATACTCATAGAATATGGGTATTCTGCAGGGCATCCAGTGGTAATACTCAGAATATGGGCCACTCTGCAGAATGGTCTAAATAACAGCACATTATCATCCTGACATATCAGATAAAGTGCATTATAGCTACTATTCATGCTAATGGACCATAAATAATAATAATATAGGAACATTTACAACTCCACTTTCCCAGATACAGAGGCACATTTAAGCTAATGTTAAGCACTGTTTAATCCTACTTATTTCAATGAAAGAAGATAGATTTAATTCCCTTTTAAGAATCAATGAGACTTAAAAGGGCTTGTGACTAGATCCTGCCCAAAGTTTACCCAGGTATCGATTTTAGACAAGCAGAATGAAGTGCTCAGGCTACCTGGTCCGTTAATGCAACACCTGTTTGTTTGTTTTCAGAGCTTGCACAGCCGTTTATCTGCCAAAGAAAATTTCCTCCCAGGTGCATTTATCGGAGACGCTCCCAAGCCCTTTTATCAGAAACAATTCAACAACTCTGGATTATCCTCTGGGCCAAAAATGCTCATTCTGACTCCTGTAGTAAAGAGGCCATTTTATTGTGTGAAATCTCTTTGGAGGAAAAAAAAAAAAACTGGGAAGGGCAGAATCCATAACCATAATCATTGGCAAATATTGGGCAATCTATAACATATATCTAGAATTCTTTTTCTTCCTTGTAGCATTTGACTGCCTAGCCTATTTGTTTTAGAATTAAGCTACATAAGGACACAGCATTATACTGAGTATAGAACAGTATCTTATCTAGAAAATACATGTTCCTGAGCTTTTGTTTGCTAAGATAGCGTGAATCGAAGAGCAGTGGCAGGTTTATAGACAGCTAGTTTGACATAATGGTTGACAAAAGATAAACCTCCTTTCCGAGGCTATTGTAACTTTGAATGGCTGTTAAACAGCTGGTCATAAGTCAAGGATTACATGTAGTTAATCACTGATAAGGTCTATGGATATATTGCAAACATTACCCAGAAGAGTTTATAAGCTAAATAATCTAAGAGCCAAACTGAAATCTGAAAGATACACCTAAAGGTGGTAAAAGTGCACATTTAGCAAATCGGTCATTTTTTCTGATTGCACCCTAGTTCATTTAATCATAGCAAAATGAGCCATTACTTTGAATGAAGACAAGTAATTGATTATTCTTCCTGTTTGTTTACTTGTTTGTTTCTTATTTGTTTGCTTTTAAGATACACATACCGGTAGAATTCTCTGTCACTTTTAGGTCAATGGCAGCAAACAATTCTTGGTGTGCATTTGTTCAGGAATTTTCAGCTGTTTTCACTAAAACAAATGGTCAAAACTTCATAGACTGTTGTGTATGAAGTACTAGTACTATGAAAGGTTTGAAGGATCAGATTACTATATACAGGCAGCCTTCATTTATTGTCCACTTATGAAATGACTCTTTGAAGTTCCACAACTTTGTTGAACCAGATGTACTTACAATCAGTTAGTTTTGGCCATAACAGTATCACCACAATCATGATTGTGATTTGTGTGCTTAGCAACCAGCTCACAATTACAATGACATAGCATCTGGGGGTGGGGTTTCCCATGATTCCCATTGGCCAACTTCACTATCAGTATCAGAGGTTGGCATAAGACAAAACTTATTCTAAAGATGGATTTTTCCTTTTATTTTACCAGACGTTTTCTGACTTTACAGTTTGAGACTTAGAATTTGTCTCCAAATCCAAAGGGGCCTTACACAAAATTCCCCTGTGGGTAGAACCTATTCTACCAGCAATGATAACCATGGAGAATCATTTCAAGGCATTGTGAAGAGTCTGGTGGTTGTTCTTGCCAGCTGCAGTGGAAATAATGTCTCTCTTAAAACCTGTTAGATGTCTGTCAAACCTGTTCATGTCAGTGACGCTGTCCATGTTCCTCTTAATCCAACAAAGAGGAATGGTGAGCAGCTCCTACTCACTGTTAGAACAAGTGAAGGACAAATCTCTACTGGTATGGAACTGATCGTAGTGAGGAGCTTGAGCTCTACATTGTAATGGCTTCCATGGATCATTCATATGTGGAAGTGAGTCGGCCTAAACCCTTTAACTTGGTCTGCAAGTAGGAAAATCAGGTCCTCACTATCCTCCCTTTCACCTCCAGTACAACTAGCTATATGTATGCTGACATATAATTTGTTTTAATTTCTGAAAACTCATGCAGAGAAGAAATCTGTCTCCAATGTTACTTAAGATAAACTCATTCTTTGGGTGAGTCGCTGCTCATAATAGCTGATTGGAAGTGCTGATTAACAATAATTAATGGTAAATATATTCTCTTCAGGTAATTATAGACCAGGAGTGTCAAACTCGCGGTGTCACATGATGTATCATGACTTTTTCCCCTTCACTAAACCGGGTGGGGACGGGACCAGCACATCTGGCCTGCGGGCTGTGAGTTTGACACCCCTGCTATAGATCAATAACATCAACTCTGAATGGAAAGTACAGTCAATAATTATTGATGTCTTCTGCCCAGATGGTTTACTTATAATTGATTATATATTTTGGAGGATACCTTGTATTTTTTTTCATATCCTAAGATTTCATATCTTAAGATACAGACTTGGTGAAAATAATGAATAGATGTACAGGATGTCCTCAACTTACAACCACAATTGAGCCCAAAAATTATATTGTTAAGTGAGACCTTTGTTAAGTGAGTTTTGCCCCATTTTATGACCTTTCTTGCCACAGTTGTTACGTGAATCACTGCAGTTGTTAGGTTAGCAACATGGTTTTCAAGTGAATCAGGCAAGGTGATCACACGACCCCGGGACACTGCAACCATCATAAATATGAGTCAGTTGCTAAATGTCAGAATTTTGTTAATGTGATTGTGGGGGCCACAACGGTCATAAGTGTGAAAAACAGTCATGTCACTTTGTTTTAGTGGCATTGTAATTTCAAACGGTCACTAAATGAACTGTTGTATGTTAAGGGCTACCTGTATTTAGTGAAATAATAATAGTGAAATGTTTACATGGTCTTTCTTTACAGCCAACAATTACATCCTCCAATTATTTTTCATCCCAAGTCCCAATTCTCACTGGGAATTTTTCCAGGAAAACTGAAAAAGTAGGCAAACCGTTCCTCTTCTTAACAGAGTTGTGTATGAGACAGACATAACTTCCTGTATGAAAAACAGAGATTCAGAAAAGAAGTGTTGGGAAGGTATTTTTTGTATAATTTGTTGTTCATGGCGCTTTATAAAATACTGGCCCTTTTTCAGTTTACAAGGACCGAAAAATGCTTTCTGTATCTGAACTGATGAGATTGTAGAAAGACAGAAGTGATTAAACAGCTTTTCCTGAATAACCTACAGTAATTAGCATGCTCAATTGCATTCAATTTCTTTGTGATGCCACCACCGAAGAAAATCCAATATAAGGAACATGATCTAAACATTTCCACTTTTGGCTTTAAGGGACATATTCTTGATCCACTACTGTGGGCGAAATAGATAGCATGGATATATATATATATACTCTATAATCCTAAATCCTAAAATGGGAATCTAATTTTAAAAGCAAATATTGCAAGGGCATTTTTTTTCTATCTGAAGTTGTTACTTGTCAGAAGATTGGGTACAATTTCTACTGGGATTGGGAGGGATAAAATATTTTATTTTTGTTCCCAGTCCACGGTTCTAATCCAAATTTGGCCAGCCATTTATTTGGCTGAGGGGTATATACACAGAAGAACCTGGACAAATATCACCCCTTCTCTTTCGAATGGCATTGTGGGAGAGAGTGATTAACACTGCCACAGTACAGCCACAACTTTTCAGGAAGTTTGCATAGTAAAGTAAAATTTGCTCCTCTAAACATCCTCACTAAAAAAAAAAAAACCCCAACAACACAGCAGCAGTATTAAATATCATTTACTCAAAAATGAGAGATTAAAGTTGATTACAATGACTGTAATGTATGTCACAACTATAGGAGGACGCCACAAATTTGGAGAATGTGGCAGGCTGCCATTTCCTACAAACTCTTGGAACAAGATAAAGTCCTTCATATTCTTAACAGATGTCAGGCATAAGTAAAACACTGCAAAAATGCTACTCATAGCAAATCCAGTTTTGGCTCTCGGTTTAGAGCATAATGACTTGGGAAACAGAAAGAGGTAATTTGCAGAAATAAATTGTACAACAGGCCACACACAACGATGGACCTCATAAATTGCTGCAAATATTTATGAGACACTAAAAGCTTGATTAAGAGCTAACAATGTACTTACTGTCTTTAAAATTCTGCAGCCCATTGTATCCAAGATGGTTAAAAAGATCAGCTGTAAGTGAAGCAATTAAATCCCCTAATCCAGACCTTATTACCCACCAAACCAAACACAATTTGTCCATTATTCTCTTTTTGCAATCCAAGATTTTATTTACGTCATTTCTTCTTACGCTGGGCATTAATCTTTATCTCAGTGGCTGTGCTCAATCTAATTCTAATACACATTTTCAAAATAGGAGACTGACCATATTGTGCCCCTTCTTGTGGCACTTTAGCATGGTGTGAGGGTTTCTTACAGACTGAGAGTTGCAGTTGATCACGTAACAGAAGTTAAAAGAGCTTTGAACAGAGATTCCTTTTATTGATTTTATATTTTGCATATACTTGTTCAGAGTTTTATAAATATATCATCTAGTACACGGACAAATATTTCCAGAAGCATACACATATACAATACATTTTAAGCAAAGATATAAAAATAAAAATGGAAGGAAATTGAATAAAGTTCTAAGGCATTTTATAAGAGTCACCAATAAATTATGACATATATTTTCCTGAATTAGCCACTAGGGATGGCTACCTCCTATCACTTCTTACTACCATTAGCCAAGCTGGTTTGAGGCTGATAATGTTCAACACATTTGGATCATCCTATATTGCTTACGCATAGTTTGGAGTCCGATCTGCATATTGATTATACGCCATCAAATCAGTGTAGATTCATAATGATTTTCTCCATGAAGATCAGCCCTTAACTTTGGTCTTTCAGAGGTGCCTCCATCACCACTGGAGCTGAGTCCATCCATCTTGCTGCTAGTGATCCTCTTCTCTTCCTTTCCACCATTCCCAGCATCAGAGCCTTCTCTAGAGAGCTAGGTCAAACATAATGTGTTTGAAGTAGGATAATTTGAGCCTGGTCATTTATGCTTGGAATGAGAAGTCAAGAGGTTGATTTGTTTGATGATTCATCTCTAACATCAAAAGCATCAATACTCTTTCTATCCTGCTTCTTCAAAGTCCAACTTCCATACAGTGTCACACGGAAAACCATAGGCTGCACACCTCTGATGTTGGTAGTACAGACACATCACAGCATGTGAATTTTTTTTTTTCCAAGACATTTATGGCTGCTCTTGCTATACCAAGTGCTAGATTGTGGCATATTTCTTGATTGTTTGTCCCTTCACTGTTGATATGCAGAACTCATAGCAAGATAAACTCAGTTCAAATTCAGCAGCACTACATTATGTAACAGTATGCTTGCTCAGTTCAGATTGTCTCAAACTTATTTTTTAATTCATGTAGCAAGCCTACTTCATTTGTAAGCAAAAGAGTATGCACTCTTGTTGGTACAGAGTACCACAATAGGGAAACATTTATATACTAAAAGCATCACATCAGAAGTGGACTATGATCTGATAAAGAGAGGCCATGGTAAATTACAATAGGCACCATCCAAGGACCCAAAGGGGAAAAAAATCATTCAGCATTTCAAGTGAAGGCTTTCTACTTTGGTCTTTTAATTCATGACTGCCATTGACCTCATTTCAACTGTAATGCTACTGTTCCCTTCAGATGATTTTTTTTTAAAAAATTGCAATATGCTTGTTTCTGCAACTATAAACAGGAAATGCCCACTGATGGATAAATATTTAACTTTTTAAGAATGCCACCATTTCTTTTCCAGCTCAATTACTGAATGAAGCTTGAGCAACTTTAGAATTGGTCTTCTTGTTCAAAGCTCTGCAGATGAAGTTGCCAGCTTCCATAACTTTGTAAAGATCCACACCCTAAAATTGAGGAACAAAGAGAAAAATATTTTTAATATGTTTATTCATATATAACTATTCAAGATGTTCAGCAGGAAAGGGAAATAGAGCGTGCTTTGTGATGATCCTAAATTCATCATCAAACATCCATATCCTGAAAACTTTCTGAGTCTGCTTATTTGACTTACCTTCTATATACTTTAGTATCTGGCAGCATTCTAATACTTTATGTCTCCAATGCTTTTTAACAACTACATCACATATCTTTGGATTACAATACTTCAAAGAATTTTATATGGGCTTCTGAAGTTGGTTCAGAACTTGCAGTCACATTATCTAAAATTGGGTATCTGAATTACCCAAACTTCAGAGTGATCATCTTTTAAAATTATTACTACTTTTGTGCCTTCAAGCTAGTGTTGACTCATGGCAACTGTATGGATTAGTCCCTGCAGTTTTTTTGACAAGATTTTGGAAGTAGTTTGCCTTTATCTTTTTCCTACAGCTGAAAGAGAGTGACTGGTCCAAAGTTACCTAGCTGGCCTTTTGTTCTAAGATGGGACTAGAACTCAGAGACTCCCAATTTCTAGCCTGAGGCATTGACCACTACACCAAACTGGCTCTCCAGTCTGATAACTAGGAGAAGAGAAATATAATCATATTATACTTATGCCCTGGAAACAATAACGTTAACACTGTTTGGCCTTGGTATAATTCAAAAATTTGGCTCAGATCCTTACTCATTGCTTGTAACCAGAACATCTGAAGATCCTAGTCCTTCAGGGCCTCCGGTATACCATGATAACTGGTGCTTGATTTAAAATGCAATAGGACCACTTGGCGATGGCACCCTAAATGTGAAACTGTCAATATACGCTCAGCTGACATTAACCTTGTATTATATTGGTGCCAGATATAGCTTCTTTTATTTTCCATTATAGGTTAGTTTTTGCTTGCTTATGGTCTTTTTTCCTTCAATTTTGCTAATTGTTTTTATACTTTTAAATTATGGTATTTCAAAGTTTTGCTTTTGATGTGTGGGTATGTATGCGTGTGTGTTTTAAAGTTACTTTTTTAAACCACTCTGAAAAGCTATTTACCTGTCAAACCAAGATCCACTGTTCTATGAAATTAAGGGACGAACAATCTAATTAAAGCCATTGGGAATAAGTCAATCTCCTCTTCTTTGTGTTAGTGCAAAAGTACTGGAAGACAGATATTATGTCCTCTTCAATAGGCTAGATACACCTAGTTCCCTCAACTGTTTGTCATACAATGTAGCGTCCAGACCCTTTATCATCTTTGTTGCCTTTCTCTGCACATTTTCCAGCATCTCAACATTGTGTATCATGAATGATGGGTTAATCACTCAATTAATCAATCACTAGAATGGGCAAAATCTAGCAAAACCCAGGAAACTTAAACTTTCGACAACCAATCAAGCAAAAAGTGGGCTTTGAAACAGAGAAGAGGAAAGCCCATACTGCCCTTCTTCAGAGTCATGGTGGAGAGCATCTGGCCTCCAAAGAGTAAGAAATATGCCACAACTTGAAGCAGGTTTACAGAAGTAGAAGAAATTAAGCCGTCTACATTGTGGACTGATCTCAAATCTATCTGTTTTGTTTTACCTACAAGGCACTGTTCCTCCATGCCTTTTTGCACCTGTGAATTACAACCTATAGAATGCAAGACATTTCATTTATTTACATTTAATGTATTTGTTACTGTATTATTTTTCCAAATAACTCAAGGTGGCGAACGTATCCAACACATTTCCTCCTCTTTTCCACACACCAACAACCTTGTGAGGTGAGCTGGGCTGAGAGAGAATGACTGGTCCAAAGTCATCCAGCTGGCTTTCATGACTAAAGATGGGATTTGAACTCATGGTTTCCTGCTTTCTAGCCTTGACTAAAATAGCTCCTTTTTCCTTTTCTTTATCTCTCACGGTCATCAGTGTTCCAGTAGCTTCTTAGCCTTAACCTGCATATCAAACAAGTGGTACTTCCTTCTGAAATTCTCTCTGTTTCATTCGCATAGGGGAATTTAGCCTTTCATCCATCCTGGCCACCCAGTTTAACTATAAAAGGGAAGGAGAGGGAGAAGAAGGAGAATCCCCTGGCCTCTTCCTGAGAGACTGGCTTGAAGAGGAAATCTCTTTATGAAGAATGAATGGAGGCAGTGATCAGACAGACACCTCCACAGACTAAAGAGGAAATCTTAGGGACTATTGAAAGTGAGCATCTGTGCCAGAGTGTAAGAACATGTTCCAATACAGACACACACATTTATTTATTTATTTGTTCGTTTGTTTGTTTGTTTATCCCCTTTATTATTTTTATAACTAATTCAAGGTGAAAAACATATCTAATACTTCCTTTTCCCCCTGTTTGCCCCACAACAGAGAGAGAGAGAGAGAGAGAGAGAGAGAGAGAGAGAGAGAGAAAGAGAGAATGAATGAGAATCAATCCTGGTTTCTAGCGTGGTGCCTTCAAAAGGCGGTTTCTATTTTAGCTTAAGATGGAGGAAACGGAAAGAATCCTGCTGCAAGAGAAATGAGCTGGTCAGGGAATCTAAAAGTGGCATCAGATTCAAACTGAGATCCCATACATACTTCTACTTAGAAGTAAATTTATCGAATGCATATCTAGGCACAAAATAAACTAGCAAGAAATCTGACGAGCAGAGACTTCTGCAAAAATAGTACTGTTTTGGGATTCTAATATTCTTTTGACTCGTACATGTTATCCTAAAAAAAATGTTTCGGCACCTTAAATCAAATGTTCACTTGCCAGATGTTCATTGAGCTGACCTTTTCAAAATTATACACAGCCATGTCTTGGTTTTCCCAAAGTAAACTGACAATTTGATCTAATCATTGTGAACCTTGTTCTAAACGAGGGATTAACTGTGACTTCAAAGGTCTCAGCTCATCTGAAAGTACAACTGCTTTTAAAAAGATCCATTGTGTTCTTTAGCAGCAACCCAAGAAAGAACATGTAAATGGGAATAATGTAAACATAGGGCAATGTTTAATTCTAGTAAATGGAATCTGCTATCAAAAATTTGATAAGAAAATAAACTCCAACGTTTAGAATTCAAGTAATAGGGAGGGTTAAAACTGTTTTAAAAAGAGTTTTATAATTGCTTGAGACCCATTCCGATCCTGGGAAAATTAGTTAGGCCTTTTATACAAAATCAAACATGCATAAATAAGATTAGGAGAAAAATTAGGCAATCCCTTTGTAACAGAGATATATCTGTTCTGTGGAAAAGCCAATTTCCCCAGACAGATTGCTGTCCTAGAATACATTGGTGGGCACTGATTGATTCATTTACCAAATCTGTATAGCCTTTTAGTGCAAGGTGTAAAAGAGCAACACATTATATTGTCTGAAATCAATACAACAGGCATGACATATATGCTATTTCAATGACAACCCCCCCCCCCCAATTTTAGCAATTATGCAGAATCCAATAAATATATGAGAATTACTTACTGTGTTGATTCCCATGCCATTAAGCATGTATATCACATCTTCTGTGGCTACATTTCCAGTGGCACCTTTCGCGTAAGGGCAACCTCCTAAACCCGAAACAGAAGAATCCACAACATGAACTCCCATCTAGAAAACAATAAGGGTAATGATAGATATTCCATCGGAGAGATAGTCCTCAATTAAAAATGCTCACTAGTGCATTCTGCATACAAAAATGTTTAGCAGCATTTTCTGCAGTCTATATTTGAGCATGCCTTCCTTCAATAATTCGGATGCCATTTTAGTCTTATGCTATCGTACTTTAACCTTGATTGTGCATGGCTTATTTTAGATAAACATTCAACACAGCTGCAACACAATTATGCCATTTCTAAAATACAGTCATAGCATCTGGAGACTATTTATTGGGAACTCATCACTATTGTCAAATAGTCCTAATTTGATATAGGGCTATTTACAACTAGGAACTTAGTTCTAAAATGGATGTCTCTGAGATTACAATTAATTTAGTCCTCGAGTTCAAATATAACACAGCCAATGTTTTTATGAATGCTGTTCATGTTTGAATAATAATACATTATAAACTCATATAGACTCAAATCATTTTATGTCTCATAGAGCAATCTTACATTAATATAACTCAAGGCATACAGCAGATTGATGCAAAAGGCAAAATACAAACTTTACAGAAGCCCCAAAATACTGAATTATTTTTAAAAAGCTACTTGTCAGACATATGCAGTGAGAAGCATTTTTCTGAAGCTAAAGTGCGTATGGAAAATAGTTTAGAAGTTCATATGATGAAGCATTAAAAAAATATCTTGTATTCTTATTAAATGTAGATAGATTAATATAAATGCTAATCATAAAATCAGACAATTTAATAAAAAGGAGCACATGATGAAAACGTAGTAAGAAAGAACACATAAAACTGAAAAAGCAAACAATAAAAATATAATAGCAGCAAGAGGAAAAGTTATTAAAATGCACAAAATTAAATTATATATTATAGACCCGGTTCCACAATAAGTACCCAATTAAAAGTGACTTCAATTTGTCACAAAATAAACACTTTGAAGAATCCAGGTGACATTATCAGCTTCTACTTTTAAATCCATATTTCAAATGTGTTTTCCCATGGTTTTCTCAGCTCTAAGGAGCTACTGCTTGAAATATATAACCCTAAAATATCTATCATTACACGGAATAAGCTGCACCGATCTATTGATACCAAGCTAACCATGAAACTTGATTGCTGTGTTTTGTAATACTTTCAGCATTCAATGATGTATATTATCAGCTAGACAAACTTTGGATCTGCAGCTTCAGAAGCTTACATTCTTTGCACAGTTTATTACCATTGTCACTGACCATTTCACCACTGACCATTAATTGTCTGGGTTTTTGTCCCTTGGTTAGACTGAGATTCTTCCCTTCAAACTATTTTCTGCAGGAAAAATTGAATATTTTATGCTTCCTTCTTAATTTTACCATGACAAAGACAGACAGTTCTGAAATGGAGCCATGTATACCAGTGCACAATTTCCTTAATAAACCTTATTTATACTTTTGAACCATAAGCATCTGTCTCAAAGTACTCTCAGAGTATTGTCTCCAAAGATTCTACTCACACATGCCTGTTCCGCTAAATACAAATTCCCCAGAGTAAATAGAAGGATGCCCACAAGGGTTAAAATAAATTACCCATTCAGTCTGGAAATACAGACAGGCAATGCTGATATAGACACATAAGTAACTAATGTATACAGGTGCTACTAGCCCAGTGGATAGGATTTTGGCTAATCAGGGGCTTTAGATAAACAACTTTGAGCCCACTGGAATAAAAGCAGTAGCTAGTAGAATAAATACTTGCTTTAAATTGTGTTTTTATTTATACAATGAAAAACAAATTGTGTACTGAACAAGAGTTTTAATATTAAAAAGTTTAGTGTAAAAGATTTGACAGGAAGTTCATCAAAGTGCACTGGGACAAGTCAAGCATCTCTCCTTAAAGCACTGAAGCAGCCACATTCTCCAAAATGTTCAAGGCAACTATTTTGAAGATTTTTCCCTGTTGTCTCTAGGTATAGTCACTTTTTTTTTTTGCATTGGTGGTGATTCCAGTGGATGGAATTTCTGTGTGTACATATTAATATGCTGACAACCTGCCAGGGGACATAGTGGTGTTGATGGTTCAAGGAGTATTAAATCAACTTTACAACTAATCCTACTGAATGCCCAGAGCTCATGAAGAAAAACTAGGTTTGATACAGCTTAAACGCAGATATGAAAATGTGATTAACATTCTGAATCAAACACCACCCAACAAATTACTTCAGGGGACTGTCAGCTGGATCTTCCTTTTGATGCTTGCTTGCTATTGGCTGCCATAGTAACAGGGAGAGGGGGGCATGGCATTAGAGTTTAGGTAGTGACCTGGTGTGAAGAACGCCCATGTGAATAAAAAGGGAGGTTTTCTCTCACGAATTACTGCGCTGCTGAATGGAGTTGTTTAAATCCAGTCAAGTCCAACCGTCCTGGAACTCCAGGTGGACGAAAACACCTGAAGATGTGCCCTACATGACACTATGTGGGATGAGGATTAGACATTCAGCCTGGGTCCCTGGGGGGAGGGATTTGTGGAAATTTCAATCTGTAACTTTCACGCCTTTTGGCTCAGATCTTGCTTTTCTTTAGCTGCTATCATTTCAAACTCAGTAAAAGTACCTCTTCTCTCCTTCAATGGAGTCGGGGGATTTCTTTCTTGGGTTTTGAATGGAGGCAGGCCTAACAGAGACTATATTTGCATCCTTTTTTTAATTTAGTGTTAATTTAATGCATGAAGGATGTACATGCAATTAAAAGTACAGTAATTACCGGTACTTTTTAAAGTGAAAAGTATTCTTTTGCTAAACACTTGGTGGCACTGTTGCCTAAAGCTGGGCTATTTTTTTCCCCTTGATAAATTCTGATAACAGAAAGATTATGTTTAAGGTTTTGATTTTGCTTATTTTTAAACTAAAAGTTAAAAAGATGGCTTTTTTCCAAATTTTTTAAAATATCAAATTACAATATATGACATATTTTATCTACACAAACCTATCCTGAAGCAATTCAAGAATAATTTATGACAGGCTTAATAAATAAATCTTTTAAAAAATACATTATTACCAGATGAAATCTACCTTACTGATCTCATGGTAAGAGCAAAATTGGCAAAGTACCGTAGCTTTCTCATAATCCTCATGGAATCATGGAAACAGTTTTTAAAGGCCCAGCATTCTCAACCAAGATCCCAATATGGCACCTATACCCCCAGCTCATAACAGTAGATAACTTCCTTTCCTTAAAGCCTAAAATATATTTTCTCCTATAAAAGTGATGATATCTGTGTTAAAAAAAAATCCTAAATAATGAATGCCTAGAGCAGAGGTATCAAACTTGATTTCATTGAGGGCTGCAACAGGGTTGTGGTTGACCTTTGGTGGCTGGGGGTGGGTGGCCATGGCTGGGGTGGCTGTGGCCAGGGTGGAAATGGCCAGCTCGATGTCACTCATCGAGGCTTCGTTTTCAGTTGCAACAGCCTCCTGCAGCTCTCTGCCAGCAAAAATGGAGCCTGGGGAGGCCTTGCGCAGCCCACTCAGGCTGTTTTCGGTCATGATGACCTCCTGCAGCCCTCTGCCAGCTCCATTTCTGCTGGCAGAGAGCTGCAAGAGGCTGTCGCAACCAAAAATGGCCCTCCTGAGTTCTGTTTTCTCTGGCAGAGGCACAGCAAGCCAGTTCTTCGCCATTTCCAGGGTGACCCCATGGGCCAGATCTAAGCACCCCGCGGGCCAGATCCTGCCCGCAGGCCTTGAGCTTGACACCCCTGGCCTAGAGGGTGGCCAAGAGCTACAATTGTTAGTATCTCATTACTTCCATCTTCTGGCCCTCTTAATTTTTGCAGCCAACATATGGTATCACAGACTAAAAACTGTGAATTCCAAGGTTACAATTTTAAGGCCAGTTTTTAATCTTTATTAGTTTTTTTTAAAGGTCCTGACTCACATGCATTTGGGCAAGGTTGCTTTGAAACTCACAAATTTGCTGTATGTACTGAATCAAGCAGAGGTGGTATTCAGCAGGTTCTGACCATTTCTTGAGAACCAGTAGCGGAAATTTTGAGTAGTTCAGAGAACCAGCAAATACCACCTCTGACTCCGGCCCCGCCCTCATCTACCCTCTGCCTCCCGAGTCCCAGCTGATCCACTGGGTTTTCTTTTGTTGCCCTGTATAGGAGAATGGCGCTGGAAAGCAAAATTAGTGGGGTGGGGAGGGAATGAAGATTTTACAGTATCCTTCCCCAGGAGTGGGGAGGGAATGGAGATTTTACAATATCCTTCCCCTGCCATGCCCACCAAGTCATGCCCACCAAGTCATGACATGCTCACAGAACCGGTAGTAAAAAAAAAATTGAATCCCACCACTGGAATCAAGGCTGTCCAACATTTGCTGACTAGGAAATTCTGGAAATTGATGCTCACAAGTCTTAAAGTTGCCAAGGTTGGCCACCCCTGTAGTAAATGTTCTGCTATTTCCTGGATTATTTTGTCTAATAATGAAGTCTTGACAGTAGAAAAACATTCTGGTGATGACTACTGATCATTCCATTTTGGACTATGTTTTTGATAATATAACCAATAGTTTAGCTTCAAAATATTCAATTAGTTCATAGGTTTGATCTTTTTCCTGCTTTATATAAGTGCATAGAACATACGGCTAAGAATATTTTATCTTTTCTGCCCCATGGTAATGTTCAAGCTGTTATTTTGCACATTAGGACACAGTATCATTCATTCAGCAAATTGTGTAATTAATCTGCATGTACAATACGCCCTGCATACATTTGGGAAGAACGATACCTGTTATTGGTTTAGCAATTTTCTACTCATGAAAAAAAAAAATAGCTGATCTAGAAAAAAAAACTAAGCAGGGCAAGACTCTGATTGGTCTTTGGATGATGAACTAGCACGAAATCCCCAGACCGTAGGCCGGGCTGAGGACTAAGTGAGAAAAGAGAAATAGGCATTGTTATCACTTCTGAACTGCTGTCATGACGTTCTATTTGAAGAAAACCTTATTAAAAT